CATGATGGTAACTCATTCTCCCACTAGGTCCCATGATGGTACCTCTTTCTCCCACTAGGTCCCATGAGGGTAACTCATTCTCCCACTAGGTTCCTTGAGGATAACTATTTCTCCCACTCGGCCCCATGATGGTAACTCTTTCTCTCACTATTTTGACCCATGTGCATTATGTGCACTTACAGAAAAATCTATGGATTCATCGACAAACGTGAAGCAGAGTCCAAACTGAATGAATGCCTGGTTGGGACATTTTTGTTGAGATTCAGTGACAGTATTCCTGGTGGTATAACCATAGCATTCAAAGAAAACATGGAAGGCAAGTGCAAGAAACACCGATTTTACCAGAAAACTATATATTGAGTTGAAATGTTTAACACTATAAACACGCTCGGGAATATTCTGATCTGCGAAGTAGGAGTTTTGCCATGCCATATTTGGTATTATGTGTTTGGTTTCCAGATTCTTCTCTTTGCTATCAAACTTCTCGCTGTATTTCCTGGCTTTCAGAGGATATTAACTGAATCTATCGACCAAGATTTTAAGATATCTGTCTTAATTTAGTTTTGGGAATTATTTTGAAGGAAAAGGACGAGGCTTACTGGGGAGGAATTTGTCAAGAAGCAAGTTGAATATTCTGTAGCACCGCACAAAATTAATGTATGGCTGCTACACGTTTCAACCTTCTTATGAGTTTTTGTTTGTCAGAGAGAATCAAGAGTGGTGTAGGGGTGATACACTCACCTCTCACCTCTAGGATGTTGCGTTCGATTCCTGGACTCGTCATCACGTGTGTACAGGTCTTTCCGTCCCATGCTTCCATGGTTTTTCTTCGGGTTCTCCAAAATTCTTCCTGAACCTCGATTCACACTTCACTACATTTTTGTTGTGCGGCAACCATGGCGCGGCTGAAGTTCGAATTTTTTTTCATTATTCTCGTTTCCAAACACTTCACAATGAGTTTACAGAGGCAAAAAGAAGGCTTATTTACTCTTTCAAACTGAGTTTTGTTTATTTCCGTTCCAGGTTGTAACCACGTGCAACCATGGACGAAAGATGAACTGAAGCAGAAATCATTTTCTGACAGCATGAGAGACTTGCAATATGACAGTGAATTGAAATGCCTCCAATATTTATACCCTTCAACACCCATAGACCAGGCATTTCCTCAAAAGGACCATTTAAACAACAATGAACAGTTCAACCCTCGATACCCGAAAAAAGCCCCTATTCGCGTGGTCCGACACGACGATGGCGGGTAAGATTTAACATTCAATTTGATGAATGTAAGATTTGATTTCAGTGACGCGTGGTATTGTCAGTGGTTCCGACTTGGACAATAGCGAAGCAATCACCGTTGCAGCAGTTTTCACAATGGAATTCAAATCTTGTACCACAAAGAACTGCAAAGTATCTGTTTTAAAGAGTACCACAAGGATTTCGAGGCAGTTTTATTTTATTTTCTCAGGACATGAAACAGTTGAAGCAATTTATGATTTATTTTTTCGCGATCAAAATTTTAAATTCTGAGATATTCTAGCTAACGTGTTCAGCTTGTGGGACATAGCAACGGTAACTAAGGGGAGTCGGAACTATAAAACAACAAACAACGTTAATTTAGGCGTTTCCATGGCACCATCGAGAAACAAAAAGCCTTCAAAGCCTCGATTATACGCTGTAGAATGTCGTGAAACTCCCTCTATTGATATTGTTTCAAACTGCATAATTCCTTCGGAAAATTGTACAATTGTTTTTAGGTTGGAGCTCATATTGTCATCAATAGTCCCTTCACGGTTCCCTGCGCCATCTTGAAAGGTAGCCGGGCCTTTGCATCGAAGCGAGACGAACGGTGAGCTTGCAATGATAGAGACCTGTGAATAATTGTCCAAGGTGTTAAAAAATGGTCTCTATCATTGCAAGCTCACCGTTCGTTCGTTCGTTCGTTCGTTCACCGCGCAGGGAACCGTGAAAGGGACTATTCAAACTCTACCGTGAACGTGCCATGCCGTACAGTGTTCGGTGACATAAAGTAGGCAGCCTCTCTTCTCTCCTCGCCTTCCCTTCCCCATCCCCTTAACACACACACATTCAATTTAGGCTTCTATTTTATCATGATAAAAGTACTTAGTGAATTTTCTTATTTAAAAATTATTTCTTGACACACTTAAAGACCCATTTCCACTTACCGTGATGCACCGCGGTCACAGATGAATTTCGTGGTCCATGAAATTCAAAGATTCATATATTGAATAATAACTTCATATTAAATCCTTTTCCGACATAGCACTAAGGCACAATAATGATTCTTTTACATTCTTTTAAGAGTTTATTCAAAAGGTTAGAATTGTTTTTTCAGTGGTGACACGATTCAAAATGTAAACAAATTGTGATGCATCACGGTAAGTGGCAATGGGACTTTGACAGTAAAAATGTTTGAGAAAAATTCATATTGTTCCATGTCGAAATAACACTAACAGAAAACCCATTTGCAGCTATTAGATGGTAGTCTCCTACGCTTACACTGATCCAAATGTTTCTTGTTTTCATAAGGTCCACTTCAGCATCGAATTTTTCTTCGAACCGATCATCTTCATTTCAAATCACTTCTCCTCCGCCATCGGTAAGTCACGTGTTAAGCCTACTTCTAAATGTGCGCATGCTCGAATTGCTCGGCCTCACTTAACGTCATTTCCTGTCTGATACAAAATGTTTATCAGCGTCATCACAAATTTTCAATAAAATTATTTCTGGCTGACAGCATATGGTGTTCAGTGCTTGACCAGCAATTGGAGCAGTCAATGAGTTTCAAAGACTATCGGGGTCTCAATAAGCCTGAAGCGAGATGACGTTTTACCCCCGTCTCTAGACCATAATCCTTTACACATTGCTTTTGTACTTTAATTATGACTATTGTTCCTGTATTCTCTAAGGAATCAAAAATTTTAATATGAAAGAATTTAAAAAACTATTATGGTATAGAGTCGGGGGTAAAACGTCATATCGCTTCAGGCTTATTATAGAGGAGGCAAATAGCAAACCTTTTTTTGCGGGGCGGGGGGGGGGGTTGCCCCCCATGCCCCGTCCCCCCTCCTTACACTAGTGCTTCCTATCAATCAACCGTGCATGCGTATTAGATTTTATAGTATGTATTACTGAATGAGAGAGAAGCTAATGTTCATTCTGTTGTATCGGATCTCAGGTTGGAAGAAACCCCGAAAGTTCTAATGGTAATGAACAGGCCTTCTCTCCAATGTCGTTCGACCACGATCCGCTTCTCAGTCAACCCATGTTTTTTAATGACCAAGAATTGACCTTGAATTTGCCCGACCAAATTATGGATGGAGAGGGTGAAGACCTTTGCACTGAGCCCCTAGAGACATTTTTCTGGGGGACAAAACAATGAATTTTCTTTGCATAAGAAAAGACGGCCTATAGAGCGTTTTCACGTGACGTCACAGCGACCATTATGGGGTACCAAAACAATACATTTTCTATCCTCCGGGAATTGAACTCTATTTTTATGCAAATACTGTGCAGAAAGTTTCTATTGTTTATGGCTGCCTTCTCACGTGAGTGAAAACGCTCTACTGTTTTGTCCCCAAAAACAATTCCTCTAGGAAATCAATGCAAGGGATTTCTTTGTATTTTTGTTTATAATATAAACGTACTTATTAAATACACACTCATAATGCAGATACAACTAACTAATAAAAATATTTCTTAAATAAAAGTATTTTCTGTAACTTGGTTTTTAATGCTGCAAAGGTTTCTACTGTTTTACTTTGGTTTTGAATATTCTGCGAACTCGGTAGTCGCAAGCTGCACTATGAAGTTTGGTTTTTCGCTGTCGTCAGTCAAAAATAATCAGTCGATACCTTTCGTATTTTGACTGGGGCTGACTGGGGCGTTAAAAACCGATTTCACAACAAGAACTTGAAATGTCTGAGTTTGCAGAATAGCGAAAACGGCAGTAATATGTTCGGGAATACAATTCCATAATAGTCCCCTTCACGGTTCCCTGCGCCGTCTTGAAAGGTAGCCGGGCCTTTGCATCGCAGCGAGACGAACGGTGAGCTTGCAATGATAAGAACCTGTGAATAATTGTCCAAGGTTTTAAACAAAGGTCTCTATCATTGCAAGCTCACCGTTCGTCTCGCTTCGATGCAAAGGCACGGCTACTTTTCAAGATGGCGCAGGGAACTGTGAAAGGGACTATTGGGGTAGGGTGCTAAAGAGTCCATTCCAGATCCTGCTATCATTCGAGCTGTAATATTCTGGGTACTTGGAAGGTAACTATAGATTATTCGTCTTTCTATTATTCACGCCGAGCAAAGAAGTAGTAGGGAAATGAGAGTTCACCAACATGCGGTGCCGGTGCCGTGCGGTGCTCGGCCCCAGATCCCTCCCCTCAACCCTACGAGGACGCTTATTGGCTAAGGCGACCAGCTATTGTTTGAGTGTTCGATCCTAGTCCCCTCCCCGGATATCCCGGTGCTCAACCCCAAACCCCAGTCATCCGGCCCAACGATTGGCTCGGGTTTCTACTATTGTGCAYGACATCACCAAACCAGTGCGTGACACGATTCTTTTATTTGTTAACATGCTCTTATTATATGAATACATTCTTCAATTACGAATACATTCCTATCTTCGACTTATTATTATTATGTTGGTTTTTTTTTTCGTTGTTTTCTTTGTTGTTGTTGTTGTTTTTTAATAGCTTCATACTGTGAAGTAGATTCTCTATATGAGAATCAAGTGTCCCGAACACATAAAAATCAAATAACTGAACTAGAATGTGTTTGTGACGAGGTTTTGGCGCACACCAGACCAGACGTTTACTGCTTAGTTTACTATATGTAACTGTTCTATTAAATCTCATCCATCTTGAATCATACACTCCATCTATTTCTTGGTCGAGCTCATGGATTGTAGACTTTTGGTCCATATACATCTACAGGTCCAAAAATTGTTCTTGCAATAAGGACATGCAGCATAATAGTCTGGGTAGTCTGGACAAATAGAACACCGAGGTATTTCGATCGTGTGAGCACATTCAGAATACTTTCTGCCACAACGGGGGTGAACTTCGGGAACATTAAAGTGGTGGCAGCATTTTGATTTTCTCATGTTGTAATAACGAGGAATTAAAAGCTTTTGAAAACCAAAAGAATAAACTAAGATTTTTATACGCTGTCAATGAGTGATATGCAAATTTCTTGGTATTTATTTTTCAATTACGAGGTCATGCAATAAGTACGAAATAAGTTTATTCTTTTATCAACTGTTTAGACTTGATTTTATAGTACTATCTAGTTTTAACCTAGTCTATTTTCAACCACTTTTTAGGTCTTGGGATGCAGTGCAGTTTATAACTGCAGTCTCGACTAGAGATTGTGCGAACCATTGTTTACTTTGTGAATAAACAATAGCAGGGATATGTATATTTACATAATTAAGGGGTTGGCGCGAACCCCAAAGTAAAACAAGCAACAAAAAAAAATGTTACAAAAAGGCGCCAACACTCTACTTAAAACCGTGACTCAGTAGAATTCTTAGTACTTAGCTCAGCAGATCTTTTGTTCATTATTGTTTGAAGAACGTGTTTCGGGTTTATGATACGGGATTATGACGTAGCAGATGACTGGCTATAAAATCCAAAGAGCTGAATGTTGGCCTCATTGCAAGCTGAATTCAACTGAAAAACACAACATGGAAAACTTAGCAATCGACCCAGAGGTGACCGATCTTATTTCGCAGTRGATTGAAGAGGCAACGGCGAGTAAAAAGGTAAGGTATTCTGTTAAAATATTAGTTAACTACATTTTAACTATGTTCAAGAAAAATAGTTATTGGTATTTTTAAAGCAAATCAGCATGATAAATTTATGCAATGTTTAGAGTATTAAAGCTTTGTTCTCCACTTTCGATTCTGCAGGTCGATGAAATGAAGTGTTTTGCATGCGGGAAGACGTTTACACATCGCAGAAGTTTGTTAAGGCATCATCGGGAAAGACACAACGACACTACTGAAAAGTTTCCTTGCCCCAACTGCGAGAAGAAATTTTCGAGGGCATATGATTTGAGAAGGCACGAAAAAAATTGTAATGGTGGCTCCTCAAAGAGAAAGCTAAAAGATAAAGAAAACTCTCTGCCCTTGAAAAAGCAGAAAATKTCTGACCAAGAGATAATTGAATATGAGGTAAATTTTTAGCACTCTGTAATGTACCTCTAATTTAGCAAGAAACCAACAGTATTTTATATTYATTTCAGTTGGTCAATATTCCACCTCAGATGCTGGAGGAGTACGATGGGGAGATCTTGGGAGATGAAAAAGAGGTAATTTTTTTTTTCTTATTGAATGGATAATCATTTTCAAAACGATAACTTATTCGATTTTTTTTTTGTTTTTGTTTTTTTTGTTTTTTGTTTTTTGTTTTTTGTTTTTTTTGTTTTTTTGTTTTGTTTTTTTTTTTGTTTTGTTTTTTGTTATAGCTTCAGACTGTAAACCAAGAAGGTGGTGGGGAGGCAAAGGAGTGTGCCATAAAAGAGAAAGCCACCATCTTCAAGTACGACCCCAATCGGAAAGAAAAGAATGATCTCCTCCAAACCTTTCGGGGAAAAAGGGGCATGGTTATGAAGCGACTCCAAAAACAACTTCAACTGCATAAAGGAATAAAGTGGTATCTTTGCTCGAAAGTACGACTTGTAAAATCWAACCCCGATGGTGAAGATCARGTGTCGACCCCGCATTTTCGCAGTGTTTGCATGACCACCACCAACCCTTCCGAACTCAAAAAACAGTACAACGATGCGGTGGAGAAAGTAAAGAAATCTTTCTTRGAGTATCAAAAGGAAGGATCTGGGTGGCAACTCGATGAAGTAAGTTCTACTTATTTATTTAGTTTCTATCTTTCAACAAATTAAAGCTGTTTGAGAACGWTATTTTTGTATTCTCCCATGTTTACGGTAATTCTGTTTATTTTATTAGGTCTTACACTTGGATTTAGGGATTGTTCCCTACGCCCCTCTGAAAGGAGCAACCTATCTTCCCCTTCCCAAAAGGCTCAAAGACAAAAAGGCAGTCCTCAACATCCAAAACGATGATGAAAAATGCTTCCTATGGTCTATCTTGGCTGCAAAGTATTCCGTTCATTGGAAAGGTCAGCCTCA